AGGACGTGGAATGTGTTGCATTGGTGCTGTTTACAAATCATTGTGTTCGACATATGTTGAACTAAATTTCTTGATTGTATATTCATTTAGTTTCGTTGCAGTAACTCTTAACATAGAGTTATGAAGATTTTGTGGAAGTTTTCTTTTTTTTTCAAGTAAAAATATTTTAATTTTCTTTTTGCTTTTTACTGGCTCGGAGAACAAAATGGTCGTTTGAATCAGTATGAACGAATACTTTTAAATTAAGTAATAAACGTCATTTATAGCGAAGAGCTCGATTCAGCGCTGAGTAGAAGAATTCTAAACGGTTACAGACAGTTTTGACGGCAAAACACGTCTCTTGAGAAGTTCGCTGTCGACTGTGACGTGACCAGTATGCGTGTGAACGCATCTAAAACGAAAAACGTAGTGCTTTCTCATTCTCCTGCCCGTTGCACTCTTCAGATTAACGGAGAGGCAATGGAGCAGGAGGAGAAGTTAAAGTACCTCGCAGTCGTATTTGCTAGTGATGAAAGATTTGAGGAACAAATTGACCGGCGAATTGGAGTAGCCAGTGGCGTTCTGCTTGAACTAGTCCGATCCATTGTGACTAAAACAAAGCTGAGTCTGAAAACTAAGCTCTCGTGTTCAAGTCGATCTTTATCCCCATGCTTATTTACGGTCATGAGTCGTGGACTATGATTGAAATGATTCGAATCCCGGTACAAGCTGTTGAAATGGGCTTTCTGAGACCGGTCGCGGGTTTTACGTATCTCGAAATGGCCCGGAATACTGACATCCGGAAGAGCCTTTGTGTACAGCCTCTACTTCTCCAGATTCAGAAGTCACAGCTGCGATGGTTTGGGCATGTGTTGCGAATGCCTCCAGAAAAGAAGGCTAAGCAACTGTTTCTTGCGAAACCTACCGACAGAAGGCCCAGGGGACGGCCAAGGTTATCCTGGTGCAGATATATAAAAAGAGTCTGTTCGAGACTCCAACTGTCTTCTGCCGAAGGATCGGGATGGTTGGAACCACTGTCTGACGCTTCTGCCTACGACCCGAAAGGAGAGGAGGTCACGGAAGATGAAGAAGATTGATAAATCTCTGTTTGCGGGGAGTGAATGTTTTCCAGTGCCTGGTAAGGTTGAAAAAACATTCCGAACGAAAGCATAATATCGATTGTGAATGACAATTGATATTTTTACTTACCTTCATGGCTTAGAATCTTAGAAATGCATTAGTTTGACAGAAGTTTCACATTGTGTTCATGGAGAGCTTCTGATAGATAAATAACTTGCTGAGTTAGATATTGCGGTTGATCGAGATGCCTATAGTGCGATCAAATAGAATGAAACACGTTGCACGTCGATCGGCGCCGAAACGTGGTCATAGACCGTTCGTGGAGCCCCTTTTGATGTGCTATAATG